GCTGACTTTTGGAGGTTGGCATCACTTTGCGCTTATACACTTTGACCCCTCCCTTTTTTTCCCCCTCTGCCCCGAGCCGAGCTGATGAGATGTTTCGGGAGGCGCGAGGTTTTTTTTTTTTTTTTTTTTTTTTTTTCCTCTTCTCTATCTCTCTCTCTCCTCCTCCCCCCTTCACGAAAAGAAGACGGCACTAATGCTCAAAGGAGGGGTCATAGCAATCTCGCTTCCATGACAAAAGATGTCACCATGAAGAAACATGTAGTCACTTTGCGACAAGTGCTTATACTGGCGATGCACACATGGACAACTCTTGCCAGTTACACAAATAGCCCCCGCGCGTAGACGAATCATTGATTATATTTGTATACACGACTTACGCAGCCGCTGAAGCACTTTCTACCCTGAGTACCTCTCTCGGGACTTGAAGCTGCGTTGCATAGCCTCTCCTTGGATAACAAAATAAAAGCCCTGGAGGAAACAATGTTATATCAATTAAAGAAGCGCGCCAGCTTTCAATCGTGCGATTCATTTTTTTTCTTTCTCTTTAGGTCGCTCGGTCCTAGCCGTTGCAGCCTAGTGCTGCATGTCATTTCATAGTGTTTTCCCACCCGGCCGACGGTCGCCTTTGGCACCTCCACTTGGTCGGAGACGTTGCCGTTAGTGATATGAAGGAACGAGTCGTGCACCTTGATCCGAGCCTCTTATTCGCTACACGATTATGATCTTTAATTTCTGCCACTCTCATTTGTGACATTTTCGATATCGACTACTTGTGGGTGGTCTCGTACAAGCTTGATAATGCTCGGACTCTTGCGAGGCTTTTTTTTTTTTTTTTTTTTTTTTTTGTGTAAGAGGGAGTATGACTGGCTCATTTATTTGAGTGGGCTTGATGTTGACGTCCCGACGCCGCTTTTGCACATGACAGTGGATTGAACCAGGTACAAGCCTCCATGTTTCTCAGTATTGAAGTATCTAATGGAGATGGTTTCCGAGGTTGTAGAAGGATTTGAGAAGAAAAAAAAAGAGGCTTCCAATTTAGTGGGCAGACTAATTGAATGCATGAATTAGATTTCTTTTCGAAATAATAGATGTCATAATAAAAAGCACTTGGACATCGAGATATTTCTTTGCTGAATAACTAATCATTGTACTACATCATCGTACCTATAATACTATATTGCTCAAAAGCTACATTTAAACGTATATGGCTGGTGGTTAATTACAGGCAGGTTTCGTTTGGTGGCTCCGCTTTGTGCCTAACTGAGCGTACTCTAAACAGTGACGATGCAACAACTGCCGGAATCACCCTTTGAGTCACCAAACCTTCATCATACATGGTAATTATGCTTGGCTTATAGTTTCAGTTGGGCATCAAGTCTAGCCAGCTCTTCAACTTCAAGAGAGGATCTAACCTCCCAACAATGCCAACCATGTTACTCGCGGACCACATACCATTGCTTGCCTACTACTAGATCCTGTGTAGGTCACCGGGAGGTGGGTAGGTAGGTACCTATGTGGAAGTGATCGGGTCAGACGTACCTTCTGTGCCTGATTGATTGCAGTGGCCTGATGCTTGCCCCGCACTTTTTTCAACGGCTTGCCCCAGGGCAGGTCCTAGCCAGGCCCGACATCTTGGGAAGACGATTCATGAATTCTTTTTATTCTTATTTTATTTGGAGTAAAGAATTGAGCCAAGAAAAGGGAAAAAGCGCCCAGGGTCAACCACACACACACACACACACACACTCTCTCTCTCTCTCTCTCTCTCACTCACACTCAGATGGTCAGATCCCATCGCTTTCATCTTCCGCCTCCGCAGTCGATGATTCTTGTTGATATGTATTCCGTTTTGAGACTCTTGCATCTCGCTCGCAAGACAGCTCCCGAGAAGATGGGCCAGTCTCGCCCATGCCTTTGCGACTGGGCCCCCTCCAGCACAGCTCCGATGCAGGCTTCGCATGCTGTTCCCAAAGGTCCTTTTGAGACGGGCAGTCTCGGGTGCTCACTTGCGCGCCGGTGCAGCCAACGAGCAGACGACCCTGAGCCAAAAGAACTTGAACCCGACGCCGCCGTGCCAGGGCTGAACCGACACGCGACATGCGCAAAGTCTGTCTGGGTTCGGGATATTATTTTCTTCAGCTTACCACGTCAAAGTACTACCATGGCAAGCCATTATCAGAAGACGGAGGAAAACAGGGGCCTGGCCCATGTCTGCTTGTGTGTCCATGGACTCGAATTGGGGTAGGTGTGTGCAGGTCAGGTAGGTAGGTACAGTAGGTATATCTTCCGTTTCTGTGTGCTACTAAATGTACTATCTGGAGGTTGCGCTCGGGACCGCGCTCAGATCCCAGGTATCTATCTGCTTATTTATTACTTCCTCGTTGTGGCCGTTCCGTCCGTAGGATCAATGGAGACACTGCATATCTACTCAGATACAGCTTCTCAGGTAAGTGAGTGCTATCGACCCGGTATCGTGCTAGCAAGCAGGCAACCAAGGCAACCTAAATAACACAAGCAGCGGTGAGCTATCATAAAATATCATATAACACAGGTACGTAGCTATGTATGCAGGCGACATAGGCCGTCTTCTTTCATGTCCATATTTTCTTCCTTACCCGTTACGCCCGTATGTTACACAGATCCTTCAACAGCTTTGCCTACCACGAGTGGACTCAAGGTATCCTTCTCGTTTTTTTCCCGCCAGAAACAAACAACAGTAATACACATTGTGGTAGCGTGGCTCTCCAGGCTGAGATTCATGCCTGTGGAGCGACCAGGCGTTATGTGCCAAAGCAGCATGGGGGGATATCAGATCATCTTCTTGTTTCGCGCAATCCTTCCAAAACTAGCGCCCGGCTCCGTGGCTGGGGTCTGGGCTTACCTACCTACCGTGCCTCCATAATTTACATTGCCTACGTCCCAGTGGATGACGATGTGGATTGTGATGTACGTTTGGTTACAAGGGGATGGATTCACCCGCATCCATCTTTTTTGTTTTTGTCTTGCCTTCTCCCCATGTCAGTATACCTAGGTATGTATCACGGGCCATGGCCGCGAATGAAAACAGTACTTTGGAGATCCGCTTACCAAGCCGTCAAAAGCACAGAGCAGGCGATGAATGCCTCATGCGTGGTACTATGTAGTACTACTGCCTGGGCTGCAGTGCTTACATACATCAGCACTGCACCCATTTCTATACTGCTACATTAGAACCCGCCCGCGGCCCGGAGAATACGACTCCGCAGCTGGGAATGTGTATACACAGTACAGCAGCTATTGTGTCGGATAGCAATCAATATCGGACGTGACATATACTACGACCTCATATATACTACAGGTGGGCAGTATAGTAGCTCCCACCCACACTCGCTAACGACTAGTCAACTAGTGTGCCAAGTCAGCCCAGAAGCTGAAGTGTTTCGCTCTCTGAAAAGGTTCACCTTTCCTGCACAAGCGCTGTAGCATCGCGGCTTTGCCTTTTCCCTCCCCCCTCTCGCACCACCCCCAATGGAGCAGCATCACTCCACCGTCAGCAATAGCAAGTACGAAGCGATGTCCATTTTCTTCGCCCTGCAGCGCCCTTGCAAAGTCTCGTCGGCCGCGGCCGGGGGGGGGGCGGCGAAGAAGGGGGGAACACAATGCGTGTAAGCCAGGATATTGGCCATATTCGCGACCGACCACATAAACACACAAGTGTCTACATACTACTACTTGCCTAGTGTCTGTACATACTAACCTTAGTAGAGAACCAAAGAGAAGGGCGGGAACGGTGTCTCCACGCCTTTCAGCTCGCTCCAGTTCTATCTGGATCCATTGCCCTGCTGCATCAAGAAAATGGAGCAAGCTTGCATGGTGCGAGACGGCCACTAATCGTCGTCGTGCTACCTTAAGCCTACCTACCGTGCCCTGTCCTGCACCGTCCGTCCCTCCCTTGACCACGGTCCGACGCGAGTGCAGCTACCACTCTGCATATGTTAGATAGCACGTACCTACACTACCTCTGACCTAGTGTACGACGTGCGTACGATCGTCCAAAAGTCACCATCCAGAGGGAATTGTCAGCGCGCATGTATCCCCCATCCTTGCAATGAATGCATTGATGCGCGGGTCGACGGGTTGGAACACGCTCACTACTGTGTCCTGTGTTGCTGTTGTTGCTGTTGTTGCAGCTAGCATCGGCTAATGTAGGTATGTACTAGTATGTAGTCACAGTCTCCCTCTGCCGCCTCTCTCTCTCTCTCTTGTGTCTTTCTGACGACTGAATTCACTCACTGCACTGGGGGTATCTTACTCTCGCATTTTTCTCCACAACGGGCTCGTTTACGATTCTGCATTAATGAGCGCCTGCTGCATCTGCGGCTATCGACTCCCGCTGCTACTGCATGGTACATCTGTGACGATCAGCCTTGCTTGATACCAGGGGTCTGCACGTCACCCAAAGGTCTTACTACAGAGTATTGCACTCACTTCTGCGAGAACCAGAAGAAAAAGAAGAAGAAAAAGAGTTTTCTTGTGGCATGCACAATGTAGTAAATGCGTGTGCCTTGGACTGCATTGAGCTACTGAGCAAGGTGGTAGTAGTGACACGCGCAGCACCAGGTTGCTCACAAGCGGTGTAAGAAACGGTCATGTTACTCTACAAAGCAGTGAAGTTACACTTTGGGTCACGATTTCACCATCTGGTCACATGATCTCCGTATGGGTCCCCGCCGAGCTGCAGCTCAAACTCAATTAGGTTCCGTTTTGAAGCTGCTCAATTCTCAGCAAACAAAGTAACCGAGAAGTCCCCGCGCACGTATATGGTGAATGAAAGTGTACGAGAACTGTACGAAAAGTCTCCGAACTGAGCTAATATAGTCCCAGAATATCCGATTCCTGGTCTACTACAATCTTGTGGCAGTATTACAGCTCAACCGTCTGATAGTATCAATTGGCAAGCTCAGTCCGACGGTGTGATTTCGGATTGGCCGGCATCACTGATTATTCACCGCTGCTCAATCATGGCCAGTACCGTAGAACAAAACAAGGCTCATTTCAAGTAAGTTGTTACCTCCTCCACCCGTTTTACCTATGCCGAATCATCTTGCTACGTAAAAGTACCGGCCGCGTCGCACGTTGGTCTGTCTTGCCAAGTACCCAATGCGTATATAATTGCCAGGTTGAAGGAGTTGGGTTGCACCAGCACAATTCTATCGCTACTTGCACCCCCTGGTCCGGTATCCTTGTCGGGCAAAACGCAGCTAGCTGACGGCAACGGCAGCAATGTTGCAGCACAATACGACACCAAGTTCGAGAAGAGTCTCCAACAACTCACGGAAGCGATCCAGTCTAGACTAGACTTTATCGGCGTGGACTGGGCAGACGACGACGACGACGACGATTATGGTCTTGATGACGACGACGAACACGATGACAAGGACGGCAGTGATGAGAAGAGGGCCGAGGAAGATACTCTGACCCCAAACAGTGCCAGGCAAGTGAGACTGCTAGATTATGCTTGCGGAACTGGCATGATATCTCGGGTAAGTCGAAAGCACATGCGCCTTCAAGTCCCGATGACTGCCAGACTAATATGCCGACTTGCAGGCACTGGGTCCTTATACAACGCAGTGTATAGGCATTGACATATCAGAGAATATGGTTGGGGCGTACAATGCCCGAGCTGAAAATCAGGTGCGTATCATTCTTGTTTTGGGTATTTTGGTGCCAACATGGTCACACCAATTCTCACATGTCTATATCCTACTTGGCAATGCCGATCTTCAAGATGGCAGGAAGCTGTGCAAAGGCGGGACAGGTCGCTGACTAAACTGCCCAGGGACTAACAAAGGAGGACATGTTTGCTGTCGTTGGCAACTTGGCCGCGCCTGATGATCCAGAGCCCGCGGCCCTGTCTGGCCCCGAATTCTTCAACTTTGACCTGGCGGCAGTAGGCGGGGGATTCCACCACTTTGATGATCCCGGGTTTACGGCGGCGCGCCTAGTTGAGCGCCTCAAGCCCGGTGGCGTGCTCTTCATCTGGGACTTTCTGACCCACGAGCAGGACCATGACCACGCGACCCACGGGGTTATCCATCACGGCTTCTCCCAGGAGCAGGTCCGTCACATCTTCGAAGAGGCCGGCGCGGGCGAAAACTTTGCCCTTGACGACCTTGGCAGCGGCGTTGTGTTTCCCCACGGCCACGGTCACGACGGGCAGCCGCTTAAGCGCCGAGCCTTTGTCGCTCGAGGGGAGAAGAAGAAGAAGAATGAGAATGCCTAGGCGGGCCCAGAACGTGATGAAGAGGGGAAGCGGATGGAGGGGGGCTTGCTTGGTGTCTTCCGTCACCCGCGTTCGAGTCGGATTAAGTACCGTACAAGTGAGGGTTACGGAGCAGCCCAGTCGAAATAGAAATTAGTGACGACTGATCCGACATGAGCAAGCATATTGCTAAAGGGTTGCCTTTGCTGATTATTCCCTTGAAATAAGCAAGCATGATTCCGAAATATCTGGGAATATTTCATATAATGTCTCTTGTAATTCCACTGGTCTTGTGCCCAGCCCCTTGTTGCAAAACATGGCAAACAAATCGTTCTTGTCTAAGCATCATCGATGTGCATCGGGACTTGAGCAGCAAGGGTCCTTTTTCCTTGCTTAGCGGCCGATCACTGGTCATTGTGCCCAACGCGACAAGCCCGCGGAATGCTTCCCAACGGCCAGCCGGGGAGGGGGGCAAAGCTAGTGAGTGATACTTACAGATCTGAGACGTCGGCAGATGCTTTTTTTCTTCAAATTGTGGAGGAGGTTGCATAGAGCGCACCGAGACAAGAGAAAGAAAACCAACAAAAGACAGAGCCAAATGCAATAACCCAGGCAGTGTGAAGGAAAAGAAATACTCCAAATTGATGCTGAGAAAAATGTTCAAGTACTTCAATGTACGAAGTGGGAGTTATAGGCCCTGGTTGATGGGAGACTAGACTGATTGCTGAGAGACATACATTTCACATGCTGCAAGGACATGAATCGCGGGCATGACAATGTCGTACATAAAAGCAATTTATATAGAGTCTCGAGCATCCAGTTATCTGACACCCGCGGATTGGATCTCTGCTTTTCTTATCTGTGCAAAACGCCAGAACGGACGGGATCAAAACTATGTGAGTTTATATGTATCGCCGGGAGCAGCCAGACTGTCCCCCAGAAAGACGAAAGCATGCCACTTTTCTTCCTTCGCTTAAGGATGATACAAGTTTTTTGGGGGCATTTGTACTATACTGTACATCAGACCGCGAGATCCGTCCATGGGGCATCTGTATCAAACAATACATCTCCCAAAGCATCATGTTACATTCGATCGCCATGCACAGAAATGATTCGTTTCTGGGCTTCTTCAAATCGCCAAGACGGATGTCATGCTGGGTGACATGTCGGGGAGAGCGGATGAGGGGAGTGGGAAAGCGAGAGAAGAATAAGAAAGAATACACACAAGAAGATAGGGAAACAAGTCCCGAAGGCGTGACTGATTGGACAATCGCGTACAAAGTCCCAGCAGCGCATATTTCTACTCACCTGTGAGTAAACTTTTTTTTTTTCAACTAAACTACCTACCTAACCCGCCCCCAAGCCCCTCCCCTTCCAGCCCGCCGCAAATTGTGGCTTGTTTTCTTACCGTGGCTACTTGCTTGCTTGCTGCGCGCGTTTTCCCACGATCGCTAGCTTGGCATGGTACATCGTATATATACCTTATGTAACATGGCATGGGCATGGGCATGGGCATGGGCATGGCATGGCAAGCAAAAGCAAAAGCAAAAGCGAGCGCCCTGGTATCTAAAAGAACAAGGGAGGACCTAGACAACCAGCCGGATAGATAGGGTTCGAGACAGGTTGTTGTTGTTTTTTTTTGGTCTCCCAGCTCTTCCCCTTCAAGGCACAATTATAAGGGATACAAGACATCAAGTATAGACAGGTTCCTGGCTAGTCTCACGATCCTAGGCAAGTATACCCTTTTTTTTTTTTTTTCAAATGTCTTCTCTTTTGCTCTTCATTTATTTCCCTACATGTACTGAGTCATACATACATCCATTCATCTTGGGACATAAACAAGTCTATGACCCCAATGCAAGAACCCATGTTTCCGGAAACCCGCCCGGGAACCCGGAAGCAGCGGTGATCTCTTTGCTTGCTTTTCAATCCAGCTTCTAGCCCCCCTTCATAATTGTATCGTAGGTTTTTTTTTTTTTTTTTTTTTTTGGCTTTGCCGCTCGGATAATGGTATAAAGTTATGGACCAAAATTTATTCAAACACAGTATAAATATGCTATTGCCATGTTGAATTTATTTTTTGTGGATTACCCCCCTTACGGCCCTCTTATGGCCCATGTTTTGTATACCAAGCATAACGGGTGGCTTGATGTTGTCCTTGCCTTTTTTTTCTTTCTTTTTTTTGCTCTTCTTTCTCCCTTCACCTCCTTTCCTTCTCCATTTGGAGTCTGTTTGTCCCCTCTGGGAGATTCCCTGATAAAGTTTTGAATTGGAACCCGGAACCACGAAAGGGCCCTTGTGCTATGTAGCACTTTGAAGAGGGGAAGGGCGAGGGACAAAGTAAAGAGAGTTTGAACTTGCCTATCATGGGTTACAACGCCCGCGTGAACCGCGCTTAGCAAGTCCACCCCCGAGAGCCGGAGGATATCGGAGGTTCCTCATCTTGGGAAGAGGGCCCCGTCCTAAGGTTTTTTTTTTTCCCTCCTTTCTTACGGTAGCGAAGAGGGAAAAATGTATAATTGTCACGTTTTATATGAAGTGACTAAAAGTTTGGAATTTCGTGAGCCTTGAAAACGCACGTATCATGGGCATCGGGCCACGAGCTCTGGAAATGGGCGTCGGGCACCCGACCTCTCATAGGTGTGTGCTCATCTCTGTTGGGCAGGTGCCTGACCACCTACGCAGCAATAAGAGCGGGAATCATGCCATCATATCAGACGAAAATGTCAAGAAACTCATATTTCAAAGCATCTTCGGACCAGAGTGTCAAAGTCATACCGCAGAGGCAATTGGTATCATTATTTGAGCAGCAAAAGTGATCAAAGCTTTACACGAGGTCAAAGACACGTTTTAAAGTGCTCTGAGCTGTGAAAGTGCTGGGATTGATACCAGAGGATACTACCTGCATGACCTTTGGTCCGTAGCATGATCTTAACCCGAACGAAGCTTTATAACCCTAGGATTGAGCAAGACAAGTCGTTGCCCCAAGTAATTTATTAGATCGTCATAGTTTGAAATTGGTTGGTATATGCTCTCTGGTGGGTTTATTTAGTGGTCCTCGAGTTACTGGCGTTAATAATGATTGGACAGCTGGGGTGGAGTAGATTTAAGTAAAGTATGATATAGTGTAATATTTGTTTTAATTAATAGTATATAAATAAATAAAGGTTGGTCATCGAGCCTCCCTTTTCACCGGAATTGCTGCTTTCCATGGTAAAATATACAGAAAATGATTAATTACACGCACTGCTCTAAAGTTTTATATATATAAGCCGTAGGTGGGTATTAGTTCGTAAGAATAATGTTCGCCCAAGCTCATACCAAGGGCAAGTTGTGAACGAGGTAACTTACACAAGAGTCAAGTTAAGCCTGTCGAGGTAAAACAAAAAGAACAGATGTGCTAAAAAGACCCTTGATATACTCAGAGCGAGACTCCACGGGATGTGGTACTTACGGTAATGAGATAATATCCAATTTATAAACTGGCCAAATTTCTTCCTAGGATTCTGCAATGATTTCTAGCTGAGTGCTAGGCAAATACGAGGGCAGCGACCATAAATTTCTGTGGAAAAGCATCTCGAGGCTAGTATAAGGTGCGAGACCATAGAGGTAGGTCATTTAGAGGAAGTAAAAGTCGTAACAAGGTCTCCGTTGGTGAACCGATTGTTTGATCATTTTGTTCACTTTCAAGAGCGGTTCATGTTCGGTATGAGGAATCAACGTCTAGCAAAAATATCTATTCTGTCTGTGCCCCTTGTATAATCAACACCTGTCAGCAGTTTTGACGCTTGTTGGGGACAACAAAGAACAACGAGAACAATACAGAAACATGGCCAACGGCCCCAGAAACGTTTATGGATGATACTTGGATGGCATGGGCCTCGACACTACAATATAAATCGGACGCCCGAATTATAGAAATACTTGCCGGCTTGGATGGAAAGATGGAAGGCTATAAACGCCTATTTAAGAAGTCAGGATGTGAATATTACGTGGAACTCTTTTCTCACAAGTCCTCAAGCATTGTGTCTTGCCCGTTTTGGCACACATACCATCAATTCTCGAGTTTGACGTACCGAAATGAATTGTTTATAATTTCACGCATGATCATTCCAACTCAGGAAGTCTGTGCACGGTTGAAAAAGGTTGTAATTTTGCAGATACTGGGATATCTCAATATGTCAAATACGCCCAAGTAGGCGAACAACTCGAAACACCACCAACAACCACAGTACATGTTTTAATCGCTCAAAATTAAGTTCATGGCAAAGCCTAGAAAGGACAATGTCCACCCTCCACACCATTCCCGCCCAAACTTGATGAGCACAGCTCACACTTGAATATCGCCTTGCGGGATTTCGATACTCGCTGAGCATACAGCGTCACCTAGTATCTATAGACGGGGTCTTTGCTCCTCTGAGGCGACACGTCATAAATCCCCTCCTCCCCCTCGGTACTGTCTACGCGTGACAGTTTTGCCGTGCCAGAAGAGTGTCCGCCACCAGCTGTGGCACCATGCATGGCCTCTTTTCCTATGGCACTCTCTTGTCGTCCCAGATAGCTCTGTGTGGTAGTGAAACCGGGATTGAATGGTTCGTACGCAAGCCTTGGCTCGTCGTCCAAATATCTCGACCCACCAGCCCCCGAGCCCCCAGCATGAGCCCCTGACCTCTCGGGTACAGGGTCTCTAAAGGGGTCATCTTCAGCGGGTGGTGTGTGCGACCTTGAAGCCGACGCCGAGGCTGAGGCAACACTATCGTAATCTACTTCCTTCCCCTTTCCTTTTCTCTTGGGTGGAGGCATCGAAGGTGCTTCATACTCGTCAGAGTCATCCATGGTAGGATGGGGCGAAGGGCGCCTCGAAGATCCAGCACCATTAGATACGGGAGCGGTCATGTGGTCAGGCGCAAGCGCGGGTATGGCATTAGGCTCATTTGCTGCGCCAATACCGGCCTGCTTCCTGGCTTGCAGCATGGCCCGCTGGTGCAAGCTGAGCGCTGCTTGTAAGTGTTCATTCGTATCGATCAAGCTCTCCATGGTATCGTTATCCGGCGCAGGATTCTCAGCCGTCATGTAGCCTTGTATGCTTCTACTGGCACTTGTGCAGCGGTCTGCAAACTCCTTCATAAAGTCATTGTTGAGAACCTCGCTCGTCGGCGTGTTTGTGACGACTTCTTGCAGTAGCTTCGCCGACGTCCTGGCTTCCTCCAAGCGACTTGCCAGTTCGACGGGATCGGGTAGGCGGCTGTTGGTGTGATTGCGTGAAAAGTAGTTTTGGGAGTGAAAGTTGTCTGCCTGAGGGTTGACCGGCGGTGGGCCACTATACGTTTGAGGCGGAGGCTGAGGTTGTCGCCCCTTGTAGAAGTGTTAGCAGCGGTGGTGGCAAGGACACCAGAGGTCCAATGCGGCGCAGAACTCACCCCATGTTTTTGTGCCCTCTCTTTCTCCTTCCTCCACATCTCCAGGAGCAGCGCCAATCCTTCGTCATATGACTTGTGGTTCTCGTACGAGTTCAATGTCTCCATGAGCATTTGCAGGACGCTCAGATCGGGGGCGCTCCTCAATACCTCCTTTGTCGTGTCCACAAACTTTTGGTCCATGTTCCTTGTGAAAGTCGGGCCCGGGTTGTCGGCAAGGATGCGCATCAGCATAATGGCATTGTACTGGTACGACGGCTTGGACCAGTAGTCCCTCTTCAGATACTTTCTGATAAGTTTTGCGCATTCGGCAGCAGCTTGCGGCGAAGACTCGGCTGCATCAACAATAGAGGGCAGATAGGTGACCTCATCGCCCGTCCCGTTTGAACCGCCCGATTCGCAGAATGCTTTCTGTTGGCAGTCTTGATTAGCCTTGGCTCATGCTGTGTCGAGTGACGTCTGTGATGGCATTTGGAGAGCTATGCTTGGACATACCACACATTGCACCGCAATGCCCTCGGGACTGTCTTTCTGTGGTTCTGAATCGTTGCCTAGATAGCGAAAGAGGCGCCAGTCAGTCAAACATGCGGCGAGCGTCTTGCGAACGAATCAAGTATTCAACTGGGTCGTCTTACCGCTTGTTCCCTTGCGCCGGATGGTGTCAAACACCTTGTTCATTTTAAGCGACTTCATGACGCCTAAAGTTGCAGATCGGATCGTCCTCGGGAAGGAAAAGCGATTGTGGTTGCAGAGGTTTGTGTCTGTTTTATTCGGCGGGTTCCTTTGTAAATGAAGCAGGGGCTCGCAGCTCCTTCGGGAGCCTAGCGTCGAGTTGGGAGCAAAGCCAGGCACGGGCGGGATTTTGAGCTGTAGTAATTCAGGGTCGAATGGGGATATATCCAGCTATGTAGCAGCCAAGGTTCGAAAGAGCAGATGGCTGGCGCAAGGTCTTCGATCGTGTGAAAGGGACAAATGGTTATGCGAGGCAAACAAGAGACGAGAAACACAAAAGGTGTTTGACGTTTCGGCGGACTTGCGAATTGGCGCGACGTCAACTGAAATGGAGTTTCTGATACATGTCTATCTCTGGAGCACGCTACCTACATTACCCAGTCCGTTGCTACCAACATGACCCTAGCACCTACAGGGACTACATTGGGGAGGGGTCCGCGTCTAGGGTCTGCTGATCAGCGTTAGATCGCCCCTAGTTTGGCAGTGGCAGGGCCACTTTAATACTCTTAGCTAGGCAGCCAGGGCCTAGCTCAGGTTGCTGGCTGGTTTGCTCCGTTTTGGTTCCTCGGGAACCGTTTATACACCAAAAAATGTTATACCGTTTCCTTGGACCAAGACTGTTTTGATATATATGCGTGGGTATGACTGACTACCTCTATAGTTCAGGCCGATAGACGAACTGGCGATGGTACTGATCTCATCGTAGGTTAATAAAGTAAAGGAAACAATAAACTCACTTGAACCAAACGCCTTCAAATATATTCATATTATCAACGGACGACAAAAGAGGAATAGCTTTTAGTATAGCTTTTTTGAGATCGCATACGCCTACGCGATATACACAATTTGTTCTCGCGCCTCGGTGTCTACCATGGTAAGATTCCGCGCCCAAACGACCTCTGTCCGAAGCATGTATATCGTCCCATCATCATCTTCTTCATGTCCGTAGCTGTGCACAAAAATCCAATCAGAATGTCTACTGAAGCCTGCGTCGTCAGTGTCAGATGGAGGCAATATTCCGTAGACCTCAGCATATCTTGCCTCAGGGGACAAACACGGCACTTGCGCCGGCCTGATCTTTTATCCAGCAATTCGCGAAACTCTCTCCCGCTATAGAAGAAGAAATAAGTGTTCAATAGTTGTGTAAGGTGTCAATCAGAAGTCACTGGTCTTTGTCACCCGATATCTTGGATTTTATCCTTGCCTGTTGTACTCGAATGCATATCTTCGGCATCAACTTGATCAGGCATAGAATATCGCACTGACAATCGGACTGTGCTATGAATATCTGCCATGAAGACGATATTCTATAGTATCATCGAAAATCGCAGGAGAGAACCCATAGTAAACGGATGCAAGAGTTGCCAGGGGACAGCCGAGGGATTATTGCAGGTAGTGGCTTGTCATATGAGCCGCAGTTCAGACACAGATTAACTCTGGGACGATTGACAATTTGAGAAGCACGGCATAATGGGCCATGCCATTGGATGGTTTGGCTATGCAGTCAACGTAATCTGAAAGATGATGGTGATAGTCTGAGTTCTATAGTGGAATCCTTGGCCGTGGTTGAAGCAAATGTTGATTTGCCCACAAGCAGGCCGGAGAAGAAGAAGAAGAGAAAGAATCAAACACGACAGGCAAATCTGTCACGGGTAAAAGGGAAGGTAGATATTCTATAGTTGCGTTAACGCGATTGCGTCAAAGGGCAGCGCCAAGTTTCCAAGGTCTTGCTATTGGTGCCAACTCACGGAAGAGGAACCACTCCATGTGTTGTCTGTATATAAGGTGGATCTAGGTTTACCGTTTGAAACGCTATGCATCAAGTATAATAATAGATGCGGAGTGTACCGTAACAACACGTCCAAGAAACCCACCAATTCCGTCACATGTGGGTCTACGGCGTTTAGGCAGCCCAAATTTCTGCTGCGCCGCAGCCAATGTTGACAAACGACCATGTCCACGAGAGTAATCTAATGAAATGGGCATACGTCTTCTTGGGTGGCTTATGGTGTTGCTGCACGTACGCAACACGACGGGATAGATGGTTCTATATACGGCAACATGCTGATCTGACGATCACTGACTGCACGCTCAACCTACAAGGCATGTATGTCCACGTTGTAAGCACCTAATTGTGTGTAGAGAGATAGGTATTATAGACGCATGTTGTGCTATTCTCACACTCTGGTGAACTTTTACTTCAGATCACAACGTCGAAATTGAGTCAGGCCCCTCAAATGATGAGAATATGTGCGAGGGATTTCATGGGTCGGTTTTTTTTTTTTTTTTTTTTCCATCTTTGAATTCGAGGCTGGACCCAATCGCCCGCAAAGTCAGACAACGAAAAAGGCTCGAAACTATACACGTACAAGTGGTGGCAAAGACGCCAAGATGTGCTCAACTTTGCACAGCCTCAACCGTCCACGCAATTTCAAAAGTTTGTGTGTGTGTGTATTGCGATTAGGTTTCCTTGACTCTTTCTGTTGCTCAATGTCAGCCGCATCACATTTTTCTTGGGCGCAATATTTACAGTTATTGGCAATGCAATACTACCCTATCTTTTGGGGGCGGGTTGAAAGGAATGATCTGACCTGGTCAGAGGGAGCCAACGGTGATTTGCTGCCCCCACTCTCTGCCTTGCCTTTGAGTTATGCTCTAGAGTACACAAATTGCGAATATAGTTTTGCAGCAGAAAAGAGTCCCTGAAACACGTTTAAATCCTTTTCACGCAGTTTTCACTGATTAAGTATTTAACTAGTACAATTGATACTTAGGGTTTTGAATACATGCTTGGAGCCTCAGCCATATTGCCTGGATACTTGATATTAGCTTCCAATAATCATCATTATCATGACCATCCTGGCTGTCTATTTGAAATGGTATACTGCTAGTTCATTGCCGGTACACGGTCCTTGACGCGCAAGAACATCCAAAGCAGAAGTAAATCATACGAGATTTTCAGCAGACCGGCGCCGCCAAAGAGAACCACCCACCACTTGTGATCAGCCAGAACACCAGCCAGGCCAATACCGCCCGACTGAGCCAGGGTCTTGACCACATTGACAAACCCCATGATGGCGGTACGCTCATCCGGCAAGACGGCGGCAGCGAGAAACGCTTGTCGGGGTGCCTGATCCATGCTCTGGGTACACGCCCTCAGCGTCAAAAAGGTCATGGCAATCCAGGTGCCCGCGCCCGAGGCCGGCGGAATGGCCATGACGGCCAAAAAGACGGCCGACGGAAGATGCGTAAACGTCATGGTCTTGAGCGGCCCCAGGCGTTTGGCCAGGGGCACCGCAAAGAGGTTGGACAGTGTGGCGCAAATGTTTGTAATCATGAACAGCACACCGAGCGTAGCTGGGCGGAGAGAGTGGACCGTGGTGAAGAAGTAGGTGATCCATGAAGACGTTGCCATACCAGAGGCAAACGAGTCCATGAAGAAGAGGAATACCAGCCGGAAAAGTATCGCCCTGGATGCCGGTGATATGGAAGGAAGCAAAGACCGAAGCCGACCCGATAACGAAGTCCGTTGTTTCTGTGGCACGCGTGCGTTTGGCCGGACTTCAGGACGGTTGGCACTATTGGACTCGTCGTCGTTGTCGGAATCATCCTCACCGGACAAGAGGCCCTGCTCAAGCTCGAGTTCAGATTCGGGCTCGGGAACCTTGACTGGTTCGACCTCGACTCTTTTGCTCAGGAGCATTGTCGAGAATAACTTGATGCCACCCGCAACGGCGTATTCGTAGAAAATAATACGGTACGCAAAGATCTTGGTCGAACCAAGGACATTCTCGAGCACATGCACTGTCAAACCAGACGAGACTGCCCCGAGGGCGGCGCCAGCCGTGCCAATCAGTATGTTCCAGGCAAATATGTCGCTATGCTTTGACTTGTCCGTCAGGTGAGCGAGAACGGATTGCTCCACGGCTCTAAAGGGCCCAATCTCATTGCCGGTCGGGCTAATGACGCCAAAAATACTGGCAATGAGGAGAACAATGTAGTTGTCGACAGCGGCAAAGACCACACCACTTGCAATCATTAGCCCCGACCCAGCCAGCAGAATTCGGCGCCTTCCGACTTGATCAGTGATGGAGGTCAAGACCAAGCTCACGAGCACGTCGCCGAGAAGGGTCAGGGTCATGAACAGCCCGATTTGCGATTCGGTAAACGATTTTGACGAGAGAAAGTCAACCAAGACGAGAAAAGAGATGCCAAAGGCGTACATGCGCACAAATCTTTGGAGACATAGTAGCTTGGTATCCCGGCAGGAGTCCTTAAGCGTGATAAAGCCAACCTCGTCGGCTATGCGAAGAACCCGTCCCTTGATTCCAGAGGCCATGTTTTCGGAGGCTGAATCCGCACAGAAATATACTGTCGTCGCTAGAAATGGCAAAAAAGATCGTGGGGTTTGATGTTAATGAAAAGTTCGTGATTCCAGATATTCCCTCTACCCATGCCAAGTTTTTCTAGAAGTGCGGACAGCTCCACAGATCGAAGTGGGGGGTCAAAGGTGAGAGAGAAAAATCGGGGCGCAGATACAGTCAAGCTCATATCTCTACCAGTGAGGGCCGGCAGATACGGCACATGGCAGAAGCCCAATTTTTGGGTCCTGCTAGGCAGCAATTATGGAGGGATCAATCGCAGACGTTTATGAATTCATACCTACACCATCTTTTACATTTTTGACACGACAGATAATGTCAGTCTTGGGTAAAAAAGTTGCGTAACACCGACCCAACACCATTACTGTCTACCTAGGTAGGTACCTACGTATATTACTTGTTGCGACACTATAACAAAAAAGTCTATCAAGTCCCGCCTTGGGTAAGAATACACAGTCCTCTAATTCACCAATATCAATCCTACTCCCTTGTGATTAGACGTAGGAGTTGTCGTTTAATTTTTCTCTCCCTTTTCCAAAAAGATGCGCCAAGTTCGATCTCTTCTTTACCAACACCTCGAGGAACTGCTGCCGCCAATACAAGTATGCGAGCGAAAACAGGAGTGGAATTGAGACCACCCAAAACACCCATGCTCTCGATTTGCCAGGCAAGTAGTCATCGCTCATGGAGAGGATGCCCGCCATGGTCGACAGCGGTATAAAGAGCATGGTCAAGACGGTGATCTTGGACAGGCTCTGGGCGTTGGCGCCCGAGACCCGGGCCTCCTGGATCGTAATATATTGCATGAATGTCGTCGCCAGCGAATTCAATGACGCGTCCACGGCATGCGCAAGATCCATGACGGACAGCCATCCGTCAACCTCCCATTGCGGCGGCGGCGGCGGCGGCGGCGCTGCTGCTGCTCCTGTCCCGAAAGCGCTTGCTGAGCCCGGGGTGATTCCATGCTTCGCGATGATCCCCATTGAGACCATATTCTCCTCAAGCTCTCGGATGAAATATTTCAACGCTGTGCGGCTACCAGCGATGAAGTCAAAGTATTGATCGTCCCATCTCGAGAGTACACCCTCGGAGAAATTTGCGAGATAGTTTATTCGATGAGTTTGATTTGGCTTGACATTTGTATTTTGGAGGTGGAGAAGTAGCAGGTGCCGCCGCCGCAGGTAGCTGAGCTCTATACCGATCACGAGCTTGCGGGGCCACTCGACGGCTTTTCTAGGGTCGTCCAGCTCCCGAGTCGACCAGTTCCCGGGCGAGGCAAAGTTGTTTAGTGTATCGTCAAACACTGAAACAAACTGTGGTCTCTGGTGGCTGGCTGTCCATGCCGATATATCCTCGGGCAGCTGCCGCAAAGCATTCAGTTCCGGAAATAGATAATGTCTCGGCATGGAACTCTCGTCTCTCAGCTCACGTCGAACCGGTACGAGCTGCTTAGAAGTCAAGTGCTTCACGTGACTCCCCAGGGGCGGATCTACGAGCAGCACGGCAGCCCAGGCGCCGTCTGTTCCTACCGGCGAGCTCCAGAAAGAAAGAACGTGAACACTCCGCATCTCGTCGTAAAGAGGCCCGTTTGGGTTGTAAACATGAAGATACCGAAATACATTTGTATTATAAGTGTAGGTACTGGAGGCCTCGTGTGGCGGAACATTGACTTCGGCACGGTGCGAATCAGCGTAACGAAGACGAAATTGCGATGTCGTATAGCGTTCAAACGGGTTGCGATGATTGAACCCAGACGGCGAGGCTGGATCGTCATAATGGCCGGCAAAGAAGCTGGGCGGAATCCTGAGGTGGGAACCAAGAATCGAGATGTAGTTGCTGGAAAGATCTTCCAGGATGAAGAGACGTCGTAGAGGTCCATCTCCCGACCCGGGCTTTGGGGATGTGGGAGTTGTTAATAGAAAATGGCGTAGCTCGTCTGAGCTTAGGAATAAAGTACGTCTATCGCCAGACTTGTGGCTCAGATCCACTGCTGCACACCTTCCGTATTCCCGTTCAAGCGGCGACTGTCTTGAAAGAGCAGAGGCAAAATTGGGAAAGAAAGGTTGGATCTCATTCTGGATCAGGCCGAGGTAAGTCGCCTCGTTTTCATCAGCGATGTTGAAGGAATTGCAAGAGCCTGAGGTCTTGGGCAAAAGATCTCCGTCCGCGGTGACCATGATGGTGCTTGCTGAAAAGGCTGTGGCGTGGAATTATGGATCTGATACCCATCTAAGCAATAGCCATTGCATGAAATCACAAGCGAAGATTTATGATAATGCTAAGGCAAAGTATTCATTGCAGTAGTCGAGGGTGCAATGTTGGGGAATTTGCTCTCTTGAACTAATAAATCATATAACTAGAGGTCATTACGGGATGCCAGAATACTTTTATTTTTGTCAACTGCGGCCCCCACAACCACTAAGCAGGTCGTTATAGCCCAAGGGTCAGAATTCATCTTTGTGTAACCAACACGATTGGACTTCTGGCATCATTTGCCGGGCGGAAAGGACTAGATCAGCAGATTTTATTTAAAGCTGGAATATTTACAGCTTAGATTGCTCCGAAGAGCAGGTGCAATGGTGGAAGCGATAGGGTGCTATATATATAAGTACATATGCACCCAGATGAACACAGCCGCTCCAAAAGCGGGGACACACCTCCGTATCGAGGCATTGTCTCGAGCAATAAGGTGGTACTCCAGGGACATGGCTGCAACATGTTTCCGGAGCCTCATCTCCAAGGAACAATGAATATGGTCTGCGGTATTACATAATTGATTAGCCAAACGGTGGTCGCTGGAACTTTTGAGGGGTTCTAGTTCCTCTGGAATGGAGCAGGTCAGGCTGACACCAGCAGTGACTGTGTGGCTGTATAGCACCGCTACCAATTCGAAGGGCACAACTCATCATATTCTACTAATTACCTAGCTTTTCCACCTGACAGCAGTTCAACTAGCACATCGCAAGCTTTTCAGTCTTTCAAGAGCGATGCAAATTCATCAAGCGACTTATCTGCAGAGCAAGCAAAATTCCAGCTGGCATGATGTACTTATCTTCTCCACACTCAGTTATGCAGTCCAACAGTACTTGTACCGACAGCACAAGACTTTCGGGTGTCGTGAATACCGAGCCAATCAACAAATGTTCGTGATAACTTGACGCAGCCCTCGTCGGCAGTCCTCCAGAACACATCAGCCAACGTGACCAAGAGAATAAAAGTCACGACAAGCATGGTATAGATGCTCGAATCCCTTGACCACTCCAAGTCTCTCTCCAAAAAGTCCTTCAAGTGTCGTCCGGGCCATTGGAAAGCCGACCAGTGGAGAAGGTAAAAAGAGAAACTAATCTCTCCAAAGTACAGCATGGGCGTCGTTGACAGCAGGCGCTGCGCAGACGGCAGATTCTCGAGTGCGAACAGCAAGCCCGGGGCGGCGAAATAGCCCCAGAAGAGAGCAAAGGCCTCGTTACCTCCGCGCCACTTCTCTGGGACGAAACCGTTCATGGTCTTGTATGGTTCGACTCCGCCGTCGCCGTCTTCTGGCCAGCTAAGGACGAATATCGACACCAAAAAAAGAGTCACAGCCAGGGTGCACCGCAGTGATCTCGACACTCTCTTTGCTCTCATGAATGCAAAATCGTCGGTCAGTGGGTTGAACCGAAGCTCTGCTATAGCCATGCCCATCAAAAAGCAGTACATGTCGCCACGCATGTGATACAAAGCCCAGAAAGCCGTACTGACAATGACGACCTTCCGAGCCACGGTAGTCAGTCTTGCCGTGGCTATGCACATGAGAAAGACCATCATGGATCCGCGATACTCGGCGGGAAGCGTCCAGGTTTGGTCAAAGGACCGCGGGAAATATCTGTCCCAATCGTACGGATTCAGCAGAGGTATGGTCAAATTAAGATATCTCCGCATGTGCTCCAAGACGGTGGTGTCTTCTTCGACCCAGCTGTCTGGATACAGGCAGGTCAGTACGATCATGATAATCGTGGGTCCAAAGAGGCGAATTCCACGACGGAGAATCGAGGAAGACAAGCCCGTAATGAGCATTCCGTCCGACACCGACGAATGGTTCGTAATGTTGCGAAGAGGAGAATGCGCCAACACAAAGCCCGACAGGACGAAGAAGACGGCCACCATGCCCTTGCCTGCCCAGATGACACGGATGATAGGCAGCTGGGTAAAGTACCGATTGTTCTCGGCCGGCTCGGCGCCGTAGGCATGAAAGAAGAAAGTGTCGTGGAGGCCCACGGCATGGAACATGTAGACAATAATGCAGGCGAGGCCGCGAACCCCGTTTAGGTACGATGTCGATGTCTTTTTCGGCAGTCGTCGTTGCGTTTTCCCAAAGGCTGCTGCGATGAACCATGGCGATAGGGTCCAGAGCCACTCCAAGTGATGCTTGTAACGATGCCATTGTCTTTGCCATGCCTCAAACTTCTCATCCCTGAGAGCCTGGTTTCTCGGCCGCCCCGAGAATGGCTCGTCGAAAGCGATTTGTGAGTACTTGACGTCATTCTCTCGCAGTCGCAACCACAACTTCCCAAATATGTAGCCCAGCGAATGCTCCATTTTGATGTAATAATCAGGATTCAAGGATTTCAAAAGGGGTAGTAAGATTGACACAAGAACGATGGCTCTTTAATACAATGGTTTTGAATCCGAACGGGAAAACGCCAAGCTCCCTTGAGTGTTTAGCATCCCTACTTTGATAGGTCTCGACCCCCCGGAATGGCATCAATTGGCCAAGACACATAGGCACGCAATCCAGGGAGATGAACTGTTGCACTTCGGCCTACACGTGGCATGCAAGGGGGACAAGGGAGAGGTCGAACGGGACAGACCTGATTGATTAGTTCTTCTCGGCCAGTGAGCTTCAGAGCCGAGTAGTTGATTCGTAGTACCTTTTTCTGCGCAAAGGTAGAGACGCCTTGATGAGGTAGATTCTGTTGGAAGAACCGCTCTTTGGCGCACTATTATTGAATCAAGCTGCCTTGTCCAATTTGTTTGTGTTGAGGGTAGTCAGCAACCAGCTGGCGCCAGTAGTGTAGGATTCTCCTCCTCCCCTGTATGAACTTTTCCATTAGAGGAAGATTTTGGGCATGTCTTGATTCACTTCAATGCCGGTGCCCATGGAAATGACTTGGAAATTCGGTTTGTGGCGGTGTCGTCCCCTCAGACGGAAGTCACAATTATTTCCATTACAACGGCAATACCAAGGCCACTCTCGCCACTTGGCTAATATCCCTGATCCCCCCGCAAAGAGTTGGCATTCACGGGCATCATCGTTATTATCACGGAAAATTTGGCTACCTAGGATGTCTATGTCGCGAGAAGAATGCTCGATTGCAAATTAGCTCTCACCTGAATGCCCCTTAATAATTCTGTATGTCGAACAGCATATCAAGCTTTAGTTGACTGCAAGTGTCGTTTGATAGCTACACGAATATGATGAATGCATAGACTTGTCGTTTATTTCATGCAGTTTATGTACACATGTGGTTGGTAGAGCTTCGCGTGGCACTGCTAATACTAGTCTCACAGCCGATATTTGGATGGCTTTATTGGAACATCAAAACCATGAAGACCAGTGTTTTTGCCACTTCTCTAGATGTCTGTAGTCTGGTGACAGTAACATGATGGTTCGTCCGTAGTTTTTACCCCATTGGTCCTCCTGTCAAGCGTGTCACTGTTTTCGTACCACGTTCTCTAAAACCGGAGACTACGCGATAAATACTGACTGGTGCACACTGCAAACACCTTTGGTGAATGCGCAGTTTCTTGGCAACAAGACATGACCTGAAGAATACGTCTGTCAGCTTGCAGTCGAGAGACTCTACCCGTGCTCGAACATGTCTAGTTCTCGCGACGCCGCCAGCCCGATTGTTTCAAAAACAACGAGACACGGACGTTGATCATCAGAATGCAAGAATGCAATTTGGGCCAGTTTTCAGCATCGAACGTGGAATTCGAAAGATGGTCTCGGTAGTGGCAGCGATCGAAATTCTCATCTAGTATAAAGACTAGACTTCAAGATTGGGAGCTCGGCTATTATAATTATTATAGGGGATCCAGTGAAGCCAAAGTTTGTGGCAGACAATTTGTCGATATTGAACAACTTGACCCGGAGCGTCTGTCTCACAATCACTGTTCTCTATCGGCCATGTCCAACAGTACCCCCCAAATACCTTGCGCAATACTGCAAGTCAAGACTCTGGACCCGAGGTGCGTGGCGACCTGATGGCCACGCGTGAAATCTGGCCGGCTCGATTTCGGATTTCTCGCGGTCCAAAACACCCTAAAAGGGTCCAAGCCAGTAAGTGGCCGCTTTTCTCCCATGCCACCACGACAAATCGCCGCCACTCATCATTTAACCATGTACCTATGTTACTGCAACTGCAATCTTCGTGCTCACGATTGTTGCAAGATCTAAAATGGGTGATATATTCCTCTTTGTGAGGGGAGGTTCTTTTCATGCATCCAGTAAAGTCCAGCAGGCATACTTCAGGCACTGCATCCAGGGTTCGGACCTCTCTAATTCTCCTTTGATGGGGCCAGTCTGGAAAGGGGTCGCGTCGCGTTGCATCCCATACCATAATCATCCCACCAGTCTTGTCAGGGTGACCCTTGTGCCGCTGTATTTCGAGCCCGGCTGATCTGCGAGATCCGGAAACTGATTGCTTGACTCGCATCAGAGACGACTTGCCATGGTGAATTATCAGTACTACATGGTCGCGTGATCGTACGAATGCGTGAGAGGCGACTTGTAAGTCCAAGACTATCTATCGTCGACGGCTATGTGATGGCTCTGAAA